TTGAAATAAAAAGGCATGTTTCTACACAATTATAATGTGGTTCATTTTGATGTTTTATTTAGAAAACAATGAATAAATGGAAAAGATATACATGTGACATTTAATAACTCATAAACAATAGAAGTGATATATATTTAAAAGAGGCACATTGAAACAGGCGCGGATCCAGGATTTCTTAGGGGAGGGGGCCCAACTTTTTTTTTTTTTTTGCTCCCGAAAATTTGAAAATCGCGCCGACCGAAAAGTCGCTCAGTGGGGGGGGGGGTAGTGAGCACATTTTTTTTTTTTTGATCCTCAATTTTTTTTTATTTATTTTTTTTTTATTTTTTTTTTTTTTTGCTCCCGAAAATTTGAAAAACGCGCCGACCGAAAAGTCGCTCAGTGGGGGGGGGGGGGGGGGGGGGGGGGGGGGGGGGGGGGGGGGGGGGGGGGGGTAGTGAGCGCATTTTTTTTTTTTGATCCTCAAAAAAATTTCAATTTGCACCCCCCCCTTGAGCGCCAGGGGGGGGGCCCAACCCCCAAAAAAGGTAAAAATCACGTGATTTTACATGATTTTTTTCTCAAGGGGGGGGGGCCCGGGCCCCCCGGGCCCCCCCCCCCCCCCTGGATCCGCCACTGCATTGAAAAGCAGTATTTGTATGCTAAAGTATAAGTCCCTCTTGTGAAATAAAATTGTGTCAACTATTAAATTGGTCAAGTATTATACCTAATAACCAACTTTATACCTATTCGCTCGCTTTCTTCGCTCTTCAACCATCACAAGCAGGTGTTTTGCCCATACATTCGTTGACATCCATTGGCACATTGCCTTAGCACCTCTCCTCCCCCACCCCACCTCCGATATGTTACCATGCCGACCCCTCCCCCCCCCCCCCCTCCCCTCCATCATCCTGGATTGAGTAAACGGGATTCATGAAACCACATCATTTTCTTAAACAAAAACGAATAAATATTAGGTCTGTAATGAAAATTGCGTTTCCATCACAAAATCACATAGTACGCCCCTGTTCACACACCCCCCCCCCCCCTCTTCCCCCATCTTCCCGGCCCTATACATTTCAATCTCGATCTAAAGAACAGTAAAGATATTTGCTAATTAAAAGATTCTTCATATTTTATGCTAGTGATTGATGTTTAGTGACTTCTATAATTTACCGATGACTTTTTATTCTATCGCGTTAAAAAAAAAACCTAAATGAACAAACTGTTTCCTATCTTGGCCATCGTGCTTGAAGAGAATGATATTTTGCCATCATGGATCCTTCCTTTATTCGTTTTTTCTTCTGTTTCCGGTTTTTGATTCCTTCTTTTTCCCCTGCTCAATTCCCTCTCCTTTTCTTTTTCTCTTTCCTTTCGCTTTCTATCCATTTGCGTCTATTTTCATCCATCTCCATCTTCAATATACCGCATCCAGCGACAAGACGAATGAGAAAACTTGAGCACCAAGAAATACGACTCCTTAGTTAAGGATTGACGAAATCATGGATATGAATTTCCGAGCCCCATTTAAAACACCCCAGCGATTTCAGCAAATCCTAGGACCGGGTTTGTCTCTAAGCTCGATATAGTAAGGAGAGAAGAAAGGCCGGTCTAATGAGTATAATGCCCACATGACGTCAGTTGAGGGATATGGGATTGGGATGATCATGAGGGGGTATTATAAAGAGGGAGAAAATGATGAGGGATATGACATCTTTCCTGGCGTGATGATCAATATACGGTGGAGGGAAGTTTGGCGTTGTTTCGTCTCTTCTCGTCATGGATCTATTGGGATTCTGATACGGGGGTGTGGTGATGAGGGAGGGGGGGTGCCTGGGATAGTGGTGTGTAGAGGGGTTCGTAGTGAGTCGTGTGGGTCTTGGTGCCTTCATTCAGAGTGCACGCTTGTTTGTTCTCTTTCCCTTTCTACCCCCCTCTCCTCTCTCTCTCTCTCTTTCTCTCTCTCCCCCTCCCTCCCCTCTCTCTCTTCTTATCTCCCTTGCATCTTATCCAGACCCTAGATAAACTAACCAATATTATTTTTTGTTTATAAAGTTACTGTATTTGATATAATGTGATGAGATATAATAAAACAAATCTTTCTTATATTGTTCCCCCAATGATCGCAGTGGGAGATAGATGTGGAGAGACGTGAGATGGGGGAGATGCGATAAATAAATTCTTGCTGCCACTTGTTCTCTCACCCCTTCTCTATACTGCATTTCTCTTTCTCCCCCATTATCTCTCACCCTCTCTCCCTCTCTCTCTCTCTCTCTCCCTCTTTCTCTGTATCTGTTGATCTTCTTCTTCTTCTCCGCATTATTATTTTTTCTCTTGTTTTTGTATTACAATTATCATTATCAATTTCCTTCTTCTTCTTCTTCATCTTCTTCATCGTCGACTACCCATTACTTTAATTCTCTTTACTAGCTATTCTTGCACGTTTTCCTTCTGGATCAAAATGAAATATGTGTTTTTCCTGACGTCAGCTTTACGACCTGGGGAGTGCATGACTGGGGCAAAGCATGGATTCAAGTTCAAGGCTACGTGACATTGGCCATTTGATAATCAATAGTATGGATTCACACCCACTTTTCTCCTTCCTTCCTATCACTTTTCCTTCGCAAATTATCCTTCTGAGCGTAACATACCATATTCCCGTTTTTTCTGCTCCTAACACAATTAATCCACCGAACCGACTCCAAATCGACATGTGCCCATCTTAGAATTTTGGGATTGGGAGGAGGGGGGGGGGGTGTTATGCCCCTCTCTTTGCCTCCTCTAGAACCGCTACTGAATGTCGGGGTGACTGGGGTCTTAAATACTTCCTCCTGATACAGTTCTCCTCTTTGGTGCACTAATTATCTTTTGTATTTATAATTATGTGTTCCCTTCAAAATTGGCCTCTCTCAATGCCTGTAGCTTTCAATTTTTTTTCTTCTAATGATCGCAAATGAAAAGTATCCTACATGCAAATTTCTCTCCCTTCTTGACTCTTTTTCTCTATCAATTTATTCCTCTTTACCACCCCCCCCCCGCTCTTCACTCTCTATCTCCCTATCTCTCCCTATCCCTCTCACTCTCTATCTCCATAAACTATCTCTCTCTCTCGCTCTCTTAGCCCATGTGTGTCCATCTATCTGTCTGTCTGTTATTGTCTCTTTCGCATTGTCTCTCTTTCCCATAACTTAGTTACCTAAGGTACTTGGAAATATCACATGCTCATTAAAAACAAATGGATAATAATACAGTCACGTTTATTTTATTCGTTTGATAAATTCAATTTATAATAAAGAAAATCTGCAGCACTCTTCAACTAAATAGGTTATGAAAATCTATTGACATTATACACCTCTTGGAGGATGTACTTAGATATTCTACAGAAACTAACGTCACATTTCTGAATTATGACAAATAACGTTCTTATACCAACAAATTTAAACAAAACCTAATTAAATGCATCGTTTGCTGATGATAAATCGGTATCCTTGTACTGAGAAGAGTAATTGAAATATATATTCAGTTTAGTTAATGGACTTGAACTTCAGAATTTGGACCTAAATTTGACAGCCCCCGCTTTTCACAAGGGTGATGACTGAAGTATGACAAAGGCATTATTGCATAAATCAGTTCATTTTGAGATCCTGTGTACTGGTGGTCAATATTTTTACTAGATTTTAGAAATTTACAAATTAATTGTCTAGATGTACTAGTATCAATTAGATTACATATTCCCCTACAACGACTTAGAATTAAATTAATACATTCGAAAATCAAGACGAAATCGGACGATTTGTTACCTTTGATTTGTGGTTTATTAGCTTGATCATCTAACAACACGTCATCTCTTGGAATTAACATATTCCCTTGGAATTTAAATATTCCCTTGGAATTAACATATTCCAATCCAATAATTTGCATATTCATAACAGTATAGCTGAGTTCCAAGCAATCTTTTTGTTTACACTTTGCCACATCAACTGAAGAAATTGTACCTCCAAAAATAACACACATCAAAGCTAACACACTGGACGGAACAAGTAGATCATAAATTCGACATGCTCACATTAGTATCCTGAAATAACATTGCTTTACACCATTTACCCTTAAGATATGTTTTTAATTTGATATAACACACATTTCCCAAAGACTTCAGCCCAATTTATCTCAGGCTCTGTGTTTGACATGTTAAGTACATGCATAGTGGCAAAGAATCATTTGGTCACTTCTTTTAAATTTCAGAGCTTAGTCTTTCACATTCCCTCAAACTTAAGACACAAATCTACAACCCTCTGATAGATAATTTAAATAGTACACAACCAGAGGCTTTCCAGATACCCATGCTATAAAATGAATGAATTGAAATACTGCTTTCCGCACTTCACACAAACTTTCTCTTTTTACAGTATAGTTGAATGGAAAAATGGAGTAACACAAAAGAATAAGGAATACATAAAATTTTGGTTTCCACATACTGAATGCTGATTATTTTGTTTCGAAAACAGTATAAGTATCATCATCATCGCAACTTACATATTGATGTTGTGTGGCTTGCTCTTCTAGGCGCAGACACATATAAAGCGCAAATGCATGGAACAAAAATGTCAACATTGCATAGCAGCTGTTCCCTTACTAAGAAAGAAAGTTCTCACATCATTGCATGTAAATCATTATTGTAGTCTCAACAGACATGTAATAAATGAAAGAATGAGAAGTCTTTGATAGCACAAGGGGGGAGAGAGAGCAAGTGAGAGAGGGTTCTTTAACTCAAGAATTAATTAAAATTTAAATCACAATGTTAATCCATCTTTACCTTCATTTTAACAATAAAACAGTATAAGGAGTAGCAACAGTATAAGGAGTAGCAACAGAATAGAGGGTAGCAACAATACTACTGAATAAAGAGAGAGAGAGAGAGAGGGAGAGAGAGAGAGAGAGAGAGAGAGAGTGAGAGAGAAAGATGGGGAGAGGGGGAGAGGGGGAGAGAGGGAGAGAGGGGGAGAGAGGGAGAGAGGGGGAGAGAGGGAGAGAGAGGGAGAGAGGGAGAGAGAGAGGGATTGGGGAATAGTTTTTATTGTTTTAAGTACTGCACATAAGACATATATCAAAACACTGTCCTATGAAGTTAAGCTCATCAGGAACATAATCCATATTCCTAAGCCTTTCAGAGACATACACAATCATTTTAATCTTGCATTCGATATATTATAACCCAGAAGTCCTTGCACTTTTTAAACCCTTCTGTGCCGTAGTGGCAAATCCCATCCAAGAATGAGATGTGTTGAACTACGTGTTTGGACTAAAAATGGTTGATTATTTCCCATGAATAATGAATATATGTAACATCACTGTGAGCCTCCCCCCTCCCCCCTCAAATTCTAATTCTGGACCTATAAAATGTAATACTTTCAACACGGAGCCCATGATTTACAGACCCTCAAATGCTAATCCAGATCCCTAGTGCAAAGAGTAGTATTTCAACTATAAACAGGGTCACATCAAATGTAAAAGTGCCCATCAGAGGAAACACATCTTGCAAAATTAGTTTTGGAGACAGAGAGAACCAATTAAGATGGCAATGTAAACAGGGTTTCAATCCAGTGGAATCCCTCCTCCCGAACTCATGCTCTGGGGATCGGTGTCATCCAGCATCACCTCGGTCGTCATGGCAACAAAGACCTGTTGCAGCATCTCCAAAGCTTCTCTGGCTCCGGGCTCCAGACCTTGGATGTCTTCCAGCGTGCTGAGATGTTCCCTGACTGGAGCAACATCGTTCCCTGCAAAACAAATGGATCAAGGGTCAAGGGAAAGAATAAAATGTCTCTTTTCTCCTCTTTCATCTCATGAATATTTTAACACAACAACGTTATGATCTTGTCCCAGACGGCTTTTGATAAAGATTATACTGGCTTACAAACTTCATCTTGTTTAACTAACCAGGGGGTGTTTCACAAAGATCCTAAGTCGAACTTAACTCTAAGTTGGACTTAGAAATTATGGAGAGCTATTTGTAGCCTTAAATTAGAATAAATTGAACAGTGAAAATTCAAGTATTTTAGACTTTTTATAAATTCCACATCAAGAACATGAAATCTCCCATGATAATAGAAAATATGAATGATTTGAATCAACATTTTTGCCTTATAAAATAACTTTTACAAATATTTTCATAGATGCTAGCGGCTTTTTATAATTGTTAAGTCCAACTTAGAGATAACTTCAACTGAGGATCTTTGTGAAACACCCCCCTGGTTAGTTAAACAAGATGAAGTTTGTAAACCAGTATAATCTTTATCAAAAGCCGCCTGGGACACACAAGATCACAACGTCGTGGTGTTAAAATATTCATGAGATGAAATAGGAGAAAAGAGATAGAATAGAACAAGTACAAGACAGTTATAGCTTTCCTGCTATTTCAATAATAGATGAGAAGGGATACATAAACATGGCATGAACATCAGTACAAAATTGGACAACAAACAAGGGTGTTTATGTCGTGGCTGAATTTCCTTACATAAATCAGGAAATTCATCGAGGCTCTTGAAATCGGGACTTACAGGTACTGGTAAAAGATGATGGGATCAAGAAATAAATTCTCTTAACTTACCTCATTTTTTAAAGAAAATACCCTTTAAATGTTTGCACTGCATGAAACATCTTCAAGTTTTAAGGGTTAAGTGTAAATAATAATAATAATAATATTAAATTTTTATACAGCGCTTAATACAAATGCCCCTAAGCACTTTACAAATATACTATTACCCCGGTCATTGAATTCAGTGCTTGCCCGCACACACTATGTGCACAATCTCCACTCCCTGGGGAGCATTCCAGCCGGGCGTTACTTGACGCTCACAAGCTGTTTGACCAACAATGACGGCCGCATCCTACCAGGTACCCATTTGACACCTGGGTGGAGAGTAGCAAGTGCAGGTTAATACATTTATTTTTTAAGTCAGATTCACTATTTTATGACTTTCTCATAAATGAATTTGTGATTTTTTTTTTATGTGCCACCTGTTGATAACTTTAAAGATACTAATCACAATTATTCCTATTTACAACATATCAAACCATTCAAAACTACTTCTACAGTTAACAACTAAATTATTCATACCCTTACCAAGTTTTATAATTGTTCAAGTATGTGAAAAATTCATTTGTCCCTATGTATGTTTCTTGAGAATGTGACATATTAAAGCTTACATTTAAAGTATTCAACAAAGGCACTTAACTAATTCAGCCAGTGCACCTTTAATTTTGGAGTAACGAAGAAAAAAAGGGAAAAAAATATCAAGTTTTCAAGGGGTATGAATAATTCTGTTGTTTACTGTAATATAGACAGTTTGCGATTGCTTGACAAGTACCGTATTCAACCATATCTTTATTAAAGGTATTGGGTAACTTTGTCTCTGATTCTAAACAAAATCCTGGATTTAGCTCATGCTTCAATCATAATTATAAACCTGTAGGTCAGAAATGAATCCTATGAATTTTACAAGCCAATCGGATGTTTGATTATCAAGATATTTATGATTGGAATTTGAAATTTCAAAAACCGTTTCCCCAACGATTTTTTATAACACTACAGTCTACTGGGGAAAATGAGTATGGTAAAACCGGTCATGCAAAGATTTTTACTTTTTAAAGCACTTCATGATCATTTTGAAACGCAATTTTGTTAGGGCTTCAACATTACACCCTATCGCAGACACTGATAACACGTAGGGCCATGCATCTCAGATATGGCATTGTTAAACAATGCCTGTAATCAGATTCATTTACCTACAGTATCTAGACTGGATGGTGGTTATGATAATCATATTCTTCCCTCTCACAATAATAAATGAGAATCTTGTCAGGAGTCTTTACTTCGAATCCATGCATGGTTGATAGCGGATTGGAATCCAATCACAAAGTCAATGCATACAAATAAAGCCAAGGCTTAGACGATAATAAAGGATCAAAGATGAAGGATATACAGAAAGAATGCAAGATACAGAAAGAAGAAGGAGGAGAATTCCCCTTTACTGTGGAGCAAGACGAATCTAAGACGAATCTGTAGAACACTACTCAAACAAGCGTGAAATATAACTCAATAAATGAATCAAAAGTAATCCCAGATTTGAGATAGAAAGAGTTCCTCCCAGCCTGCATCCATCGATGAGAAAGTGTTTAACAGAGTATGAATTCTGAAGCTTTGCATTACCAGCACATCATCATGGATTTGATGAACTGATGTTTCTAGAGATTTTAGTCCAAATCCAAAAACAAATTATCATCGATTTCTGTTTTTCTCCTAAAGAATACCCTATCTCTCGGGGCACTTATCAAAATATATTATGGAGAGCATTATTATCATAAGTCGATCATCTAAAAAGAAATGACCATCCTGAGTCAAATATTTTGAGAGAGTGACATTTTAGTAATTTTGTGTGTTGAAACAAATGGGAAAGTTGTCAAGAATTACTGGTTTAGCGAATTTGAAGTGCCCACATATAGTGATTACGACTTTGAACAATTAATTACTTTCTTTCTTTCTCTTTGGGTGGTGATTTCATTCAAACTTTCCCCGTTTTGCTTCTATGATTTTACTGCTTTCATTTATAAGGTTTGATTTTTATTTAAAGCCCCTCTGCACTAGTTTTGCCAGGAGAGATTAGATCTCCCTGCATGGTCACCGACAGGTGGTTATCTCATCTAATCAGCTCTCAATTAACATAAGAAAGAGAGGACCATGGGGGGGGGGGGCCAATGGTCACGAATTAGGCATTGTTTGCTAGAGGGCGCAAGTAGCTATAAGTAGTGCAGTGGGGCTTTAAAGAATGCTGAGAAATGATTTAAAATATCATTTTTATTTGGGGGCACAAATGGGGGGGGGGGCGGTATGGTTCGTCTCCTCCCTTTACTAGATATGCTGCTGATACAGGATCAAAGCATCTTATATGGCAACAATTGAGAGCAAATTTGTAAACACATGCAAACATAAACAGCGAAGGAAATATCACAGTTATAAATCTTCACATGAATGTAACACATGACTGTCAAAAATAGTTGACTACTCACTCTCTCATCGCTCCCAGATCTCCTTTTTTTCCCGCAACTAGATATTTTTTTCTGATAAGATGATATATTGCCAATCAAGAAATGTCGCTATTGATCATTTTGTGCATCATATATCATAATACTCTCTCATATCAAAAAAGAGATTAAATGTCTGCAGTCAAAAGTCATGGTGATTGCCAGATATGATACGGGCACAATATTCTCTCAATTTTTGGAAGATATTATTTTCCATATTTGATAGAAGATGACTGTTAGATAGAAAGTCTTTTTTTTCTGACTTTTTTTTTAATTACAGGATCAAGCTAATAGTCTTTATTTACTGGGTGTGAGCAAACTTTTTTTTAATACAAATTGAAATTAATCCCAAGAAGCCTAACATTCAACGTAAATATTTCCACAAAAAAATAAGGAGTTTTTTTCTCCTCTAAAGACCATTATCAAAATTATAATTTGCAGCTCATTCTTCTTGGTTCACTTTGTTCTTCATTTCTTGACATTTCAACAAATTTCAACTATCAACAATTCAAATCTATTATTACAAGCATGCGACTCATATCAGCATTCTTTTGCAGCAAAATTAGAAGTTAATGAGTCTTTCTGCATAATTATCATGACATTGACATTATTCAGCATGTTTTCATATTGTGTTTTACTTTCTACAGCAATTAAATATTTCATTTGTTTCTCTTTTGATTTAAAAAAAAGAAGATTATGACTAATGTTATAGAGGAGAGTAGAAACTTGGTTGAGTCTTATCTGAAAATCATACCATTTCATCTCATTTGTTTTCGGTGCTGTAATAAGGATGGATGAGGGTAGTAATGAATGAGCAAAGCTGTGAGGGTTAATTTAATGAACCAATATTTATCGAGTGTATCTGAATCTCTGCCGCACAGGAAATTACAGGTCAGACATCACAGTCAGACAGGTCATATTTCTGGGAAAGGGACCACCCTTTCACACTCGAGAACTAAGAGCTATCTTAGGTTGCTCAAAATAGAGTTGATTAAATGAACACATATTTATTTTGTGTATCGATCTGAATCTCTACTATACAGGAAAATAGGATTCAAACATCACAGTAAAAATGGTCACACTTCTTGGAAAGGGACCCCCTTTTACACTTGAGCATTAAGAGCTATCTTAGGTTGCTCAAAATAGACATGATTGAATCTGAATCTGATCTCAATCTCCACCATACAGGATATAATGTTTCAGACAGAATGACCGAAAAAGTCACTCTTTGGCAGAGGAACCCCTTTCACAAATAAATAGAATTGCAATCGCTACAACACTCATAAAATACACACAATCGTTGCATCTGAAATCTACGTCCATATTTACAGGTTTCCAAATGATAACCATCTGCATGCATAGTCGCCTATCTTATACCCTTTTTTTTTTTTAGCAGATCAACCGATAGGACTGTCGAAGACCGCACCTTTGGGGTAAAAGGTGCCTTTCACACTTGAGAATTAATAGCTGTCTGGTAGGCAGGTCAATAATGAACTGACTTAATGAAGCCACAATCTGTATCTGAATCTCTGCTACACAGGATATTGCAGGTCGGACCAGGGAGTTATTAACTCCTTGGTCAGACAGAATGGTCAAACTGGTCACATCTCTGGGAAAGGGACCCCTTTCACACTTGAGAATTAAGAACTGTGTCAGGTTGCTCAATGATTGTCAGACAGAATGGTTGACAGTGGCG